ACTACCCAAGATGACTCGAGAAATCGCGAGGCTCGTGGCTACTTGCCCGCAGAGGCGCAGGACACAAGGCTGACTCGTGCGATCTCGAGGCTCGTGGCTAGGCGCTTAGATTGTGCCAGCGCAAGGGAGGTCCTTGGCCGATCTGGCCAAGAAACCCCTCTTGCGTTGGCCCTGCCGCACGGTCGTAACGTGGGCAAACTGAATTGGTGAGAATCCCACAGCCCTGCCACACGCTCGTGATTGCGGAAGCTGGTGTGGTGAGACCACCATGGCCATGCTCAGCGTTTTGATGCTGATGCTAATCAACATGATATGATAGCAACTTCGATCCCCGCAACTTTTCCGTGGGTTATCAAGTTCGGCCTCCGCGCCTTCCCCACAGATAGATCCCTGTGGTTGGGGGTAAAAAAATAGAGGGGGTTAAGGGGGGTACTTTATTATCGCCCGTGGTCGGTTAATCAGGGCGCGAGAGAGCCGTGCCACATCCACTTGCGAAGTACGAGTGGGCTTGAGTATGTGTGGCGGAGGGCGGGTGAGTCTACGCATGGGCGGATCTGACTGAGAGTGTGAGAGGCCTTTGCGTATGAGCCTGAATGTGATTCCGTTGATTGTGAGTGGATCTGGGCGTGAGCGGTCTGAACATGAGTGGGTCATTGTATGAGTGATTTCTAGCGTGGGCCGTTATGAGTGCCAGTGAGTTTGCATATGAGCGGGAGTGAGTCTGAGTCTGAGTCTGACTGGGTTTGGGCATGAGCTGCGGGAGGGAAGGAGGCCATATGATAAGACATGAGGCAGAGAGGTCCCATTCATGACCCTACCCCCATGCTTAAGGTATGTGCGAGATACATATGATGTGGGAATTGATAACTCAGTCTAGCCAGTCCCCAGCAACACGTCCTCAGCAAACGCTTGCAATGCAATGCCACTGACATTGGAATCGCCTGGCCCAGTGGCTCGTGTGCAGACCAGAGCAGCATCTGGACCTCGCCGGCTACTCTGCTGATATCTGCATGGGCCCGTGATAGATATGTCAATCACCCCCTTTTCCTCCTTCGATGCTCCTCATGGCACCACCATGCTGTCGAAGATGCCTGCGGCGAATCACCGCCGCCCCCTGCCTTTTCGGAAGCGCCTGTGAGGCCGAACGTTGAGGCCAGGCCCGCCAAGCTATCGGACCATGTGTTCCCCGAATCGGTTCGGAAAGCCTTCGGGGAACACGTGGGCATCTTGAAGGTCATCTTGGCCGCCTGGAGGCCATTTTGACCCTTTCGGGCCTTCTTGGAGGATGTCTTGGAGGCCATCTTGAGCGTCTTGGAGACCTCTTGGGCCGTCCTGGGGGCCTCTTGGGGCCGGGTCGTGGGCCGCTTGGGCGATATTGTTTCTTCCAAACTCGCGATGAGCACAAACCTGTCATCGCTCCGACGTCCATTCTCCGCGCAATGGTCGGCTTCGTGCGCTTTGTCGATCAACTGTTCGAAAACGCTCCTCGGCGGTCCTCGCCGAGAAGACATGCACACGTCCGAACGCTGCCGAGCAGATTGCTATCCTCTGCGTTGGCCGCTTCCCCGGCAGGTGCCCGCTGGAGAGCAGAGAGAGAAGACGCGCCCAACTTGGGGGCACTTGGGCCGTCTCGGGCCGTCGGAAGGCAGAAAAAAAGCAACTGCCACACTCCTTCAAAAACCCATAGGAAATCAATGATCCGTAAGGGCTTCGCCCCCTGCCCCCGGCCCCCTCTCTCGGAGAATGGGCCATGGAAGAGCTAAGTCATGAGGCCTTGGCGCTGTCGTGAAGCAGTATCGAAACTTCATGCGAAGCCGATTCGCAATCAGCAAAACCAACTGATCACAAGAGGGGTTACCACACCTGGCGATTGGTAAGACGTGTATGGTTTACGGGCTTGGTTACCACACCTTGCGATTAAAGGGCCGAGGGAGTTCTCGCAGTTTGGGTTACCACGCCTTGCGATGGATGTGCGTGAAGGGTGGCACCGAATTTCAGAAATGTGGCAAATCCCTTGTGTTTTTGGACCCTGACCCCGCGGATCTGCGTGAGGGGTGGCGCCGAATTTCAGAAATGTGGCAAATCCCATGTGTTTTTGGACCCTGACCCCGCGGATCTGCATGAGGGGTGGCACCGAATTTCAGAAATGTGGCAAATCCCATGTGTTTTTGGACCCTGACCCCGCGGATCTGCGTGAGGGGTGGCACCGAATTTCAGAAATGTGGCAAATCCCCTGTGTTTTTGGACCCTGACCCCGCGGATCTGCGTGAGGGGTGGCACCGAATTTCAGAAATGTGCAAATCCCTGTGTTTTTGGACCCTGACCCCGCGGATCTGCGTGAGGGGTGGCACCGAATTTCAGAAATGTGGCAAATCCCCTGTGTTTTTGGACCCTGACCCCGCGGATCTGCGTGAGGGGTGGCACCGAATTTCAGAAATGTGCAAATCCCTTGTGTTTTTGGACCCTGACCCCGCGGATCTGCGTGAGGGGTGGCACCGAATTTCAGAAATGTGGCAAATCCCATGTGTTTTTGGACCCTGACCCCGCGGATCTGCGTGAGGGGTGGCACCGAATTTCAGAAATGTGGCAAATCCCCTGTGTTTTTGGACCCTGACCACTTGGATCTGCGTGAGGGGTGTCGATTTCGAGCCCCACCAGCAATTCAGACAACGCGCCCAGGTGACGCTAAAAAGCCACTTTGGGCCTCCCCCCCCCTCGCGCGGTCAATCAACTAGTTACAGTAACCAGCAATAAGTCAACTAGTTACAGTAACCAGCAAGAAGCAGAACTGTAACACTGGAAACTACAACCTACGACTGGTACAGGAAACTGCGAATCACGGGCCTACAGCCTGGTGGCCCCACAAGGGGGCCGGCGGATTTCGGCCTTTTCGGGCCTTCCTGGAGGCCCTCTTGGAGGCCTCTTGGGCCGTCTTGGGCCATCTTAGGGCCATGTTCGGCCGCTTGGTGGGCTCCTGGTCCGTCTGACGCCGTCGGAAGCCGTTTGGGGGGCCTCTATGGGCCGACTTGGGGCCCTCTTGGAATGCTCCAGGGCCGTCTTGGAGGTCATCTTGGACGTCTTAAGGGCCTCCTGTGCCGTCTTGGAGGCCTCTTGGGGCCCTCTTGGGCCGTTCTGAGGCCATCTTGGATGCCTCTTGGGCGATCTTTCGGCGATCTTTGGGGGCTCTTGGGCCGTCTCGGGCCGTCGGAAGGCTGAAAAGAAGCAACTGTCAACATCCGTCAACAACCCTAGGGAAATCTATGTTTTTGGCCTCTTCTGGCCTTCTTGGAGGCCCTCTTGGGGGCCTCTTGGGCCGTCTTGGGCCAGCTTCGAGCCAACTTCGGCCATCTTGGTGGGTTCCTGGCACGTCTGACGCCGTCGGGAGCCGTCTTGGGGGCCTTTCTGGCCCGCTTTGGGGCCCTCTTGGGGCGCTTCGGGGCCGTCTTGGAGGCCATCTTGGGCGTCTTGGAGGCCATGTTGGGCGTGTTGGAGGCCTCTTGGGCCGTCTTGGGGCCCTCTTGTTGGGCCGTCATGGGGCCCTCTTGGGGGCCTCTTGGGCGATCTGGGGGCTTTTTGGGCCGTCTTGAGCCGTCGGAACGCCGAGAAGAAGCAAATTCCAAAATCCTTCAAAAACCTAAGGAACATCAATGATTTTGGCCTCTTCGGGCCCTCCTGGAGGACCTCTTGGAGGTCTCTTGGGCCGTCTTGGAGGCCTCTGGGGGGCCTCTTGGGCCGTCTTGGGCCGTCTTGGACTCTCTTGGGCCGTCTTGGAGGCCGTCTTGGACCATCTTGGGCGGACTTGGAGGTCATCTTGGACCATCTTTGTCGGACTTGCAGGCCACGTTGGACCATCTTGGAGACCATCTTGAGCCGTCTTGCCTCTTGGGGGGCCATCTTGATTTTCGGTTCGTGTTCCCTCTCTTGGGCCCCTTTTGGGGGCCGTCCTGGGGCCCTCTTATGCTGTTCTGGGCGCCTCTTGGGCCATCTTGAGGCCCTCTTGGGCCGTTTTGGGGCCCTCTTGGAGGCCTCTTGGGGTCTCTTGGGCCACCTTGAGGCGGCCTCGGGAAGCCGAGCGAGAGCACCAACATCCTTCAACAACTATAGGAGAGTCTATGATTTGGGCCTTTGGGGTCCTCCCGGGAGGCCTTCTTGGAGGCTTCTTTGAGCGGCTTGCAGGCCTCTTGGGCCGTCTGGGGGCCATCTTGAGCGTCTTGGAGCGATCGCTCGGCGACTCGGAGCCCTCTTTGGACCGTCTCGGGGGCCGAAAAAGTCACGCGGCAAGATGCGGGGGGAGCCCCGAGGGGCACGCGGGAAGCCCAGGGGGCACGCCGGAAGCCCCAGGGAGCACGCAGGAAGCCCTGGGAGAGTCCAGAATCTTGGCTCCGGGCCCCTGAAGGACTCCTCCAGGAGTGAGGATTGAGGCCGAGAGGATCAGGCAACTGACCCGAGGACACGCCCACTCCGTGCCCAGAGGCACGGTGGCGGGTCAGGACATGTTTTTCTTCTTCCTCATTCAGGTCCTCTTCGTACCCCCGTCCTCTCCATCCACCACTTCACCTTCGTCCTCATCACCCATCTCCGGTTCGGGCGATCGTGTATAATCTTCGCATTGGTCTGTTGATCCAGAGTTGCATGGGCCACATTTTTCGTTGGTACAAGACTCCCGGTGAGATACTCCCCGTGGGATTCATTTGATATGTGACCCTCGCCTCACGAATTATTGCATCCAGAGTGCGCGAGATGGAACCACTGATATCTCGCATAATTGCATGTTGATCACACTGGATCCGCTTGCTCTCTTCAAGGGGAGATCGTAGGTGTCTCGTTCCGTGTTTCTTTGCATCCTACGCATTTGTGTCTGGTTGCCCACCCTTGTATCTCCCGGCTCATTTCCGTGACTCCTCTCGCTGCCTTTGCTTCCTCATCATTTTTCCTCTCCCGCCGCTGTTGCTGCTGGATCTGATGTGCCCAGTGTCATTCGCCGACGACCCGTCTCAGAGGTGCCCTTTGTCCCGGTGTCGGGCCTCAGCGGCGACAACCTCACGACGAAGTCTGCACAGGCGACGCCCTGGTTGTTCACAGGTGTGCTTAGGAAGAGGCCATGACTGCTGGCGACATCGCACAAGGAAAACTCGCAGTTTCTGGGAGGCACCTTGGATCATGACCTTTGCTCCTTTTTCGAACTCGTCGCATTTTGCGTGCTCAAAAGGAGAGGGACGGCAACGGAGCGACGTAAATGTGAGGATGGGAAGAAGTAGAAGGGGTTTAAGGGGGAGGGGGTGGAGGAGTAGGAAGGCGAGCAGTCTAACTTGGCATCATTTCCTGATCGACGCATGCGATCGATTTGGCCCTTATGCAAACAAATGCCAATTCGTGGAACAAGCAGATCTCGGTGCGCCGCGGAACGACACCGTGTAAATCACCGCCGAGCCACGTACAACCCTCCCCATGCCCGATCACAGAATCTGCGACGAGTTCTCTGGCAGGGGGAGCGCCGGGGAGACTCGCAGCCGTTCGTTCTGGCCCTCCTGCAGAGGGCGGCGCGCTTCCTAGTCGAGTGTGGCCAGCCTTCGGTAGCCCGCCACTCGGTGTAGCGCAAGCGCTCTTGTGGGGGGGTGTTGTTCGTTCAGGACTGCGCCCAGGAGGCTTCAGGCCCTGGATGATTGCGCATCTGATGAGGCCGGCGGTAGTATCCATGGCCGCGCCTTAGTTGGTGCTCCACCGTCTTCCAGATCATGGATTCCGTATCCAATGGTTCCTTATCCAGTGCTTTTGCTGATCCTTGCCGTATAAGCGGCATCGCCACACGCTCGGCACATCCGCCGATGGCGAGCGATACATACCCGCGGAGGAGGGGACACTCGATCGGTGTCGGTGAGATCGTGACGTAGCCGCGACTTTGCGCCCGGGCGGGGGAACGCAGAGGACACGGGGGGGGGGTCCCAAGCTCGCCGATGGACAGCACACTGCTGCTCCCTGGACTGTTCGATGTTTCTTCATGTCGCGTGGACTGGTGTGATTTCGACTGTTCGATGTCTCGGCTGTAAGCGCACGGCATTGCAACTCCGATCGTATTTGGTCCCCAGGCAGTACTTTCATTCAAGGTGTATTACTTCTCTTCCTTACGGAATAGAATGGTCAGCCGAAGGGGCGAGGTGCGCCACGCGTGCCAGGCCGCCACGCGCACCAGGCGCCCCAGGTGCCCGTGGGGCCCAAGCGTGCCAGGTACGCCTGGTGCGCCAGATGCGCCACGTGCGCCAAAGGTGTCGCCTGCTCCACCCGCGCTCGGGCGCCAAGTTCGGGGCAGGCGCAGGGTGTGCCAAGTGCGCCCACGCATGTCGGGCAGCATGTTGGCCCCCACCGTTCTTGTCAAACATCAGCGTGCATTCGCGGTGGAGTGGCCATCATGAGATGGGCGTGGACACAGCAGGCAGTATGCCAGCACCCCCGCCGCCCTTGTCAAAAGCCAATGCAAAGTGATCGTGGGGGGCCAGCGCATGATCCAGATTTAGCCGCGAAGTACAGTTTGTGTTGTGCTTTGAAAGGGGTGGTGGCCCTGCGCTCAGCACGCCAAATGCTGGCACAACCGCCGTCCCTGCCAAGAACCTCTACACAGTGCCCGCGCCCCCCGAACATGACCCAATATGTTGCCGCAAAATGCACGCTGCATTGTTTTTGGAAGGGGAAGGCGGGGGGGGCTCGTTATTTCAGGTTTGCCGCCAGTCGGGTGGGGGAGGAGGCGCATATGAATACGTTGCAGCAGCAAGCCCTCTCCCGAAGGGGAAGAAGGGGCTTGGAAGAGGAAGCGGCCTAAACCACCTACGCCCGATGGACCAACACCACCAACCAACCAGCACGCATTGCACCCTTGTGGCAAGCAGCAGGGGGCGGCGGATCGGAGGCGCCTACGGCGATTCATTGCCGCCTCCTGCTGCTTGGAAACGCTGGTGTGGTCGAACGTTGTGCCCAAAGCTTGGACAAACGATCGAACTATGTGTTCCCTGAGCCGTAGTGGAAACCCCTCGGGGAGCATTCAGGGGAGGATGAGCGAGATCTTCAGGAGAGGGAGGAGGAGTAGGACCAGTGTAAACCCAAGACGCATCATCGATCTTGCGATACACCCTCTCTCGAAGATCTATCTTCAGAAGTCCCTACAATAATGTTCTTCCTTGTGGAACGAGCCCCATTGGAAGACAAGCGTTTGATAATCCTCAACTGTGCCAAAGCACCATTCCTGGGACTTCAGAGCCGCGAATCAACGTGAATATTGCGTCCTGACAATCCTTAATCATGCTGGAACACCGTTCCTGGAATTTGAGCACCGCGCATCAACGTGACAGTTGCGTCTTGACAATCCAACAATGTTCCATAGGACTGCTCCTGGGACTTCAACCCCACGAATCCTTGACATTGTTTTATACGTCCTAGCAGTTTGTGCGCGGCGCTACAGCGAGAACCACATTTCGAAACAGAGCCGCCCTCCATCCTTGAAGCTGTTGCAGGTAAACAACGAGTGCGGGCGGCGCTAAGGCGAGAGATACATGGTGAAAATGGCCCGCCTTCCATCCGCGAAACTGTCCCAAGTTTTGACGACACGTTTGCGCGGCGCTAAAGCGAGAGCCAGAGTTGGAAAACCACCCGCCCTCCATCAGTGAAATTGTTGTGAACTTTTAAGATGAGTGTGCGCGGCGCTTAAGCGAGAGCCACATTTTGAAAGCCACACGCCCTTCATCTGTTAAGGGACTGTAACCTGTAAGACGCATTTGCGCGGTGCTGAAACGAGAGCCACATTTTGAATACCAGCCGCCTGTCATCCGTGAAACTGTTGCAAATATTAAGCTTCGTGATCATGAATAGTGGAGAAGTCTCCAGCCAAACCCCCGGCCAGCCCTACCGACATGTCTGGGGGCGCGACAGGGAGGATATTCTCATAAGGAACAGGGATAGAGCAGGAGGAGGAGGAGGAGGAACAGTACCAGCGTGAACCCAGCGTGCATCAACGATGTTACAATACACGCTCCCTCCAAGTTTCCCATGCGCAGGTTCCTACAAGAACTTATTGTCATTGCGGGAAGAACCCTATTGAAAGACGACCGTCTTAGAATCCTCGATCGCGCTAAAAACACCGCCGCCGCGGGCCATTATAATATCACCCCGGCCTCTTCGGTTTTCACCGCAGTATTGAATGGGTTCCCCCCTCCCCCGCAGCCGGCATTATGAATTGATGTTGACCGGCGAGCTTGCCGCCATTTTGTTGGTTGGTCGCCGCGCTTGTTTTCTTCACGTGGGTTTGCAGGCTCCGGCGATTGCACAGGTCCCGTCTGCTGAACGGCACCTTCTATGAGACTAATTCCCTCCCCAAGCTGATTAGTCAACAGTTGCTTGCTGTTAGACGTGCCTACGCCCATGCACAGGACCTTCTGCTTGGCAGGCCCCTCCCCAAGCTGAGTCAAAAGGCATTTGGATACTAGACGTGCCTCTCCTCTTGCACAGCACCCTCGATTAGACAATGCCCCTCGCCGAACTGGTTTTCAAACAACTCCTGGGGGCCAGACGTGCCCCTCCCCCTTCACAGGTCCCTTCAATTGCACAGCACCCTCTATTAGACAGGGCCCCTTCCCAAGCTGGGCTGTCAAAACTCCTTTGTCTTAGACGCGCCCCTCCTGCGCAGCACCTCTATTGGACAAGGCCCCTCCCCAGGCTGATCACAGCAATACGCTCCGTGGTGCTAGACGTGCCCCTCATCCTACAGGCCCCCTCTGAAGCACAGCACCCTCTGCTAGGCAGGCCTCCTCCTAAGGTGATTAACACAACTCCTTTGATATTAGATGTGCCGCTCCTCCTGCACATCACCCTCTATTGAACAAGGCCTCCCCCCAAGCTAATGAATAAAACACCTTGTGCCAGAGATGCACGTCTTCCTACACATGCCCCAAGAACAGACTTGCCCCTCCTCCTGCACTTGCCCCCTCTGCTGCACAACACCCTCCTCTGCTAGACACTCCCCTCCCCAAGCTGATTCACGTATCGCTGTGGGCATTAGACGTGCCCCTCGCCCTGCACAGCATCCATTAGACAAGGGCCTTCCCCCCCGCTGATTAAACACCTACTCCATGGTGCTACACGGGCCCCTACTCCTACTCAGGCCCCAGCTGTTGCAAAGTACCATCTGTTAGGCAAGCTCTCCAGACCGATTCAACAAGCCCCTTTGATACCAGACGTGTCCCTCCTCCTGCACGTGCCTCCTCTATTGCACACCACCCCTTTGAGATAAGACCATTCCCAATGCTGATTAACACATCAACAACTACTTGGTGCTAGGCCTGCCTCTCCTCCTACGCAGGCGCGTGCTGCCACACAGCACCCCCAAAGCTTAAGCAACCTGCTCATTTACTATTCGATGTGCCCCTCATTCTGCACAGGCCTCCTCTGCTGCACAGCGCGGCCTCTCCCCCCGCTGATTAATCAACAGCTCCTTTGTTCTAGACGTGCCCCTCGCCCTGCATGTCATCCATTATTAGGCAAGACCCCTCCCCAAGCTGATTGCAGAAACAGCTCGTTGGTGCTAAACGCGACCCTCCTCCTACGCAGGCGCCCTCTGCTGCACAGCAACACTCTATGAGACAAGGCCCCGCCCCAATGTGATTAGATCCTTGGTCCTAGACGCGCTTCTCCTCCTACGCAGGCCCCCTTTGCTGCACAGCACCCTGTGCTAGGCACTCCCCTCCCCACCCCGACTCAGACAATTCTAGACGCTTCGCTTATCCCCACCAGCCCATCCCGAAACGATGTCCAGGCGAGTTGAGGTGATCAGGGAAGTGCGGCAGCAAAGAGGAGGACGGCCGAACCGTGCAAAGGAGTGAGGAGGAGAAGGAGGAGGTGGATGGATGGATGGATGAGGGAGTGGGAAGACGGAGGATGAATAGGATGAGGAGGAGGCGGAGGAGGAGGAGGAGGAGGAGGAGGAGGAGAAGAGAGGAGTAGGAGCAGGAAGGAGGAACAGGAGGAGGAGGAGGAGGAGCAAGCACAAGGGCCAGAGGTCTCTTGGATGCCTCTAGGAGCCTCTTGGAGTATCTCTTGGGCGATTCTTGGGGGCCTCTTGGGACGTCTTGGGGGTCTCTTGGCGATCCTGGGGGGCTCTTCGGGGTCTTGGGTGCCTCGGGGGGGGCCTCTTGGGGCCTCTGAGGGTCTTCTTGGGGGCCTTCTGGGGGCCTCTTGGGGGCCTCTTGGGGCCATCTTGGGGCCATCTTGGGACCTCTTGGGGCCTCCTGGGCGCTTCTTTGTGCCATCTTGGAGGAGATCTATCAAAGAAGAGCTGAGCTTTAATTAGCGCTGCCCCCCCAGGAGGCCAAAATGGGGCCAAAACCATGCTAAAATCAATGATGTTGGCTCTCTCGCCGAGGCTGTTTTGGACGCTCTGACCGCTCCCCGCCCCTCCTGTCCAGGTCAGTGGGGAGGGGGTAAACCCCTCCCCGAAGGGGAAGAGGGAGGGGTGGAAGAGGAAACGCCCTAAACCACCGACGCCCAGAGGGCTGGTGGGATTCAGCTGAAACCAGACATCCCCTCCTCCTGCACAGTCCTTCTCTGTTGCACAGCACCCTCTATGAGACAAGGCCCCGCGCCACTTCGATTAAATAAGCAGTCCCTTGGTGCTGGACGCGCCCCATCCTCCTACGCAGGCCCCCTCTACTGCACAGAACCTCCTATGAGACAAGGCCCCCCTCCCCACGATGGTTCAAAGACAACTCCCCGGAGCTAGACGTGCCCCTTCTCCTACGCAGGCCCCCTGTGGTGCACTGCACCCTCTGCTAGGCGAGCCCCTCCCCAGGTCTTTGCAAAAAGCTCACTGGTACTAGACGCGCCCCTCCTTCTGCACAGGCCTCTCCTGTTGCACAGCACCCTCTATTGGACAAGACTCCTCTCTCCGCTGATTAATCAACAACTCTAAAGCGCCCTCTAGTAGAGAGGCCACTCCCCAAGCAATCTAAACCCATTTCATTGGTGCTAGACGCGCCATTTCTCCTACCCAGGCCCCCTCTGCTGCACAGCACCCTCTGCTAGGCAAGCTCCTCCCCAAGCCGATGAAAACAGCTCCTTTGATTCCAGGCGTGCCACTCCTCCTGCGCAGGCTTTCTTTGTTGCACGTTGCCTTCTATGAGACAAGGCCCCGCTCCGTTGTCATTAAATCGGCAACTCCTTGGTGCTAGACGCACCCCTCTCCCTTCACATGCACCCTCTGCTGCACAGCACCTTCTCTGAGACAAGGCCCCTCCCCACAATGAATCGAAGACAACTCCTTGTTGCTAGACGCGCCACTTCTCCTACGCAGGCCCCCTATGTTGCACAGCACCCTCTGCTAGGCGAGCCCCTCCCCAAGCTTGAGCAAAAAGCTCCTTCAATACTAGACGCGCCCATCCTTCTGCACAGGCCTCCTCTGTTGCACAGCATCCTCTATTAGACAAGGCCGCTTCCCAAGCTGTTTCAAAAACTTCGCAGAGTTAGACGTGCCCCTCCCCCTAGACAGGCCCCCTCCGCTGCGCAGGAATCTCTGGCAGGCAGGGTCCCTCCCCAAGCTGATTAGTCAAGATCCGTGGTGCTATGCGTGCCCTGCTGTGCACCACACTCTGCTGGACGAGGCCCCTCCCCAAGTTGATAAAAAAAAAAAAAAATCCTTGGTGCTAGACGTGCCCCATCTGAAGTGCATGAACCTCTGATGAACGAAGCACCTCACCATGACACCCTTGGTGCTAGACCCGTCCCTCTGCTGTGCATCACCCTCTGCTGGACAAAAAACATCCCCAAGCTGATTTGGCAAACATCCTTGGTACTAGACGTGCCCCTCTGCTGCGCATCGTGCTCTACCGGACAAGGCCCCTTCCCAAGTTGATTCAGAACACACCCTTGTTATTCGACATGCCCCTGTGCTATGCACCACCCTCTGTTCGACGAGGCCCCTCCCCAAGCTGATTAAACAAACATCCTTTGTACTAGACGTGGCCCTCTGCTGTGCGCCGCCCGCTGCTCATTAAAAACGCGTTCTTGGTGCTACGCGCGCCCCTCTGCTGTGCATGAGCCTCTGCTAGACGAGGCCTCGCCCAATAGCGGCCGGTGCGCAGCTGGCCACATCCTTGCGTTCGCTAGCTCATTAGGAGTGGTACGCTTGTCTCAGCGCGGGCCACGCACCCCTCCTAATTGGGCATGCCGGTGCCCCTGGGCCTGGGCCCTGGGCCGGGCGCCGAACGCCAGGGCCCGGGCCCCGTGCCCCGGACCCTGGATGCTGCACGCTGGACGCCAGGCCCTGGGCCCCAGGATCCAGGCGTCTAAGAGGCCTCAGTGCCTGCAGCCCTCGGACTTCTGTCAGTCGCCCCCTCCCGTGCGCAGAGAGCCCTCTGCACGGTAGGTTCGCGTCATGGCGACCGGCGGCGACCCCGCCGCGGGCGTTCAAGCTTGAACGCCGCCAGTGGCCCAGAATCGGCCTTCACGGAACGATCGGGTGATCGGAAAGTCGCCGATCGTTCAAGATTGAACGATCGACGCGGTGTCAGAAACCGACGCCAGGGTCGTCACGACACGAGCTTGCCGTACGCTTCCGCCGTGCCCGCGGCCAGAGCCAGCCAGGGCCCTACGATGGTGCACCAGACCTTCCGGGCCTCGGTCGGGGGGCGACTGCACCACGCCGCGGCCCAGGAGGGTCCCGGCCAGGCACGGCGGTGCTGCGTGGATGCCCTCCCTCTGCGTATCCTGTCGCCTCCGCCACCGCCGCCGCCTCCGCCGCCGCCGCCTCCGCCCGATACCTGGCCGCCGCGGGCAAGCCCAGGTCGAGCCTGGTCGCTCCATGGCCGCCAGCTCCCCCTCCTCCTCCTCCTCCTCCTCCTCCTCCTCCTCCTCCTCCTCCTCCATTCCTCCATTCCTCCATTCCTCTTCCTTTATGAGAAAAGGTTCTCCCTGTGGCACCCCGATGCCAGGTTCCAGGGTGGGCCGGGCGGTTCGCCCGAGGCTTCCTCACCACTCATGACCCTGAAGCTCAAGCAATGGCAGCAGCTTCACAGATGGAGGGTGGATGGTGTTCAACATGTGGCTCTCGCCTTAGCTCAGGTCGGGCGAAAGGGGGGGATTGGGAAAGGGGGGGTTACGAAATTTGCTGCATGTAGCTGGTTTCGGCCTCACCGCGGAGCCCATTCCTCGATACATAGCCGCCTCCGGCGCCGTGAGCTGATTCTCAACCCCCCCTTTGCTATCCCCCCCTTTCGCCCGACCCGATTAGCGCCGCACACATTCGTTCTGAACGTGTGCAGCAGTTTCACGGATCAAGGGCGACTGGTTTTCAAAATAAGGCTCTCGCCTTAGCGCCGCACGCATTCGTTCTGAACGTGTGCAGCAGCTTCACGGATTGAGGGCGACTGGTTTTCGAAATAGGGTTCTCGCTGCAGCGCCGCGCACAGTCGTTTTAGACATGTGCAGCAGTTTCACGGATTGAGGGCGACTGGTTTTCAAAGTGTGGCTTTCGCTGTAGCGCCGCACACATTCTCCTTCCTAAACACTTTGATGAGCTTCACGGCTTGAGAGCGGCTGGTTTTCGAAATGTGGTTCTCGCTGCAGCTCCGCGCACATTCGTTTACAATATTCGTTTGCAACATTTGCAAGGGTGTCACGGTTTCTCATGGTCAGCGTACCAGGAATTGCGTTTTGCAAGGATTCAGGATTATGAGTGCGTAACAGTTACATTGGTTTGCGGTGTTGACGTCCCAGGAATGGCGTTCTGGCACGATTCAGGATCGTCAAGACGCAACACTCAACTTGATCGATCCGTGGAGATGGAATCCCGAGAACAATGTTTTGGCATGCGTCAGGGTCTTCAAACGGTTGTCTTCCAGCGAGGCAGTTTCCCCAGTGGAAATGACCCGTTGTAGGGGCCTATGAAGAGGGAGCTTGGAGGGAGAGTTAATTCCAACATCGTCGATGACTCTTGGGTTTGCACTGGTCCTCCTCCTTCTCCTGCCTCCTTCTCCCGCCTCCTTCTCCCGCCTCCCCGTGCTTAGAGAGCCTGCGGCCCCACTCCTTCGCAGGCCAGCAGCTTCTGCCCGAACAACCAAGCTTCTCCCTCCCTCCCTCCGCCTCCCCCGCCTCGTGTTCTTCCCCTTTCATGCTACACCTCCTCCGTCTCGGCCTCTCCCTCCGCCTCGCCCTCGCGCTCACGCTCCTCCTCCTCCTCCTCCGCCTCCTCCCGCGGCAGCCTTGCCACGCAGCGCCGAGCCCGGCCTTCCCGAGGCCCCTCACCCAGCTGGGTCGGACGAGAATGGGGGATAGGGAAAGGGGGGGGAGGCACGAAATCCGCGATATACGGCCAGGTCCGGCCCCGCCGCTGGGCGCCGTCCTCGATAACGCTGGCGCCTGGTGCGCCGCGAGGCACCTCGAGAGTCGGCTGCGCGAGCCGAGACGCTGCCCCCCCCTCCTCACGAAGTCCCGGCCTGCGTCCGACCCCGCGCGGCCCCGCAGTCTGCCTGGTACGGCGGCAAGGCGCTCATCGATACGCTGGACGAGGCGGAGCACGCTCCCCTCTCGCGAAGCCGTGGCTCCCCCCTTCCAGTCCACCACAGCCTGCTGCTCTTCGAACGCCTGGTCGTTCAGTTACGAATCTATCCAGCTGCCATTGGCAAGTCCAGCCATCGTGCCATCCGAGCACTCTGGGTGGCGACTGTTCGAAGGGGCGCGAGAGGCCGTCGCGTGTGACACCTCGTGTCTCCAGGGTTGGGAAAGCCTTGATAAGGATGATGATGGTGATGATGCCGATGACGATGGTGACGATAATGACAATGATGACGATGATGACGACAACGACGACGCTGCTGATGACGATAATGGGGGTGATGCTGATGATGCTGCTGGTGATGATGATGCTGGTAAGCATGATGATGACGACGATGATGATGATGATGCTGATGATGCTGATGCTGATGCTGATGCTGATGCTGACGCTGACGCTGGTACTGATGATGATGGTGGTGATGGTGATGCTGATGGTGATGATGACGATGATGCTGCTGATGATCATGTTGGTGCTGCTGCTGATGATGATAAGACTGTCGATGATGGTGATCATAAGCAGGGCTTTGGAAGGGGATGATGATGCTGATTACGATTATGATGCTAGTGATGATGGGGATGGGGATGGGGATTGGGCTAGGGAGTATGCTGATTATGATACGATGCCGATGACATTATCGATAACGACGACGATGCTGATTATGATGTTGATGATGCTGATGCTGATGATGATGGTGCTGATCATGAGGAGGAGGAGGAGGAGGCGGAGGAGGGGGACGAGGATGAGGATGAGGACGAGGATGTCCGAGACATCCTCGCAACGCTGAGCTCCCAGCTTTCGCACGCGTGGTGGTCCAGCCCGTTTCACTTGAGACATCTTCCCAATTCTGAGTTCCGAGATGCCGCGCGCGAGGTGGTCTGGCGCGTTTCTCTTGAGACATCCTCGTCTTGTTGAGCTCCGAGATGCAGCGCGAGAAGTGGTCTGGCGCGTTTCGCCTGAAACATCCTCGCAATCCTGGGCTCTCAGCACATGTGCGCGAGGTAGTCTTGCGCGTCTCGCTTAATGCATTATCGCGTTTCTGAGCTCCGAGATGCCGCGCCAGAGGTGGTCTGACCCGCTTCGCCTGAAACATCCTCGAAACGTTGGGCTTCGAGAGGGAGGAGAGGATCGAGGAGGGGTCAGACCCAAACGAATCATGTGATTCCACTTCTGTTGTCGAACTGTGCTCTGGGAGAGGGCTGTGCTCTCGAATTCCTCTTGGTTTTCGGCGCGCCCGTAGTTTTCGGTGCCCCTTTGGTTTTCGGCGCCTTTCTGGTTTTCGACGCCCCTTTGGTTCTCGGCGCCCTTCTGGTTTTCGGCGTCCCTTTGGTTTTCGGCGCCCCTTTGGTTTTCGGCGCCCTTTTGGTTTTCGGCGCCCTTTTGGTTTTCGGCACCCCTGTTTGTTTTCGGCGCCCTTTTGGTTGTTGGCGTCACTTTGGTTTTCGGCGCCCTTTTTGTTCTCGGCGCCCTTTTGGTTGTCGGCGTCCCTGTGGTTTTCGGCGCCCCTTTGGTTTTCGTTGTCCTTTTGTGTTCGGCGCCTTGTTGGTTTTCTGCGCCCCGTTGGTGTTGGACGCTCCTTTGGGTGCCCTTTGACATGGCGCACCCCTGTGGACTGTCCCCCATAGGCCAAGTCAGAGAAGCCCTTCTCGCAGCTTTTTCTTGAATTGACCGTCCATGCCCAAGCCGCAACTCAAGACGAATACTTATAATTTGTGTTCTTCTGCGGTCAGCGTAGGGTCACCTTGGAACTTCAACCCCCAGACCCGCCCCATAATAATAATAGTATATGGAGCGATATGTCTTAACAACTTTGGTTTTTGGTGTAATTATTGCGATCCCGAGAAGAGTAGCAAATCGGTAGGGTTTAAATGTTAGCGCCGCCTGGTCATGCATTAGTGCTGCGATTGATAATTTCGGATTACGGCGTTATGGTCAGCGTTGAGGTGTTAGGTTTATTTTGGTAGGGTGTGGGTGTTACGGTTCGGGTGTTCGGTTTTACGGTTTTAGGGTTAGGGTTAGGGTATTAGGGTGAGGGTGTTGGGCTTAAACTATTCGGATTAGGGGTTAAGGGTCAGGGTTTGGGTGTTAGGGTTGGTGTGTTAGGGTTCGGGTTTGAGTGTTAGGTGTGGCGTGTTAGGGTTAGGGTTAGGGTTTTAGGGTTAGGGTGTTAGGTTTGGGGTGTTAGGGTTAGGGTGTTTGGGTTTGACTGTTCGGGCTCGGGTTCAGGGACTCGGGTTAGGGTGTGAGGGTTAGGGTGTTAGGGGTCGGGTAAGGGTGGTCGGGCTAATGTGTGCTACGGTTCGGGTAAGGTCGAAGGGTTAGGGCTCGCGTCTTAGCGTTAGGGTGTTCGGGGTAGAGCTAGTGTGCTGGAGGAAGATTGAGGGTGTTAGGGTTATGGTGTAAGGCTTATGGTGTTTATAGTGATGGTTAGGGTTTTAGCGTTAGGGTGTTAGGGTTAGGGTTGTGCTTAAGATGCCAATGTTTGAGGATTCGGGTGTTAGGGTTAGAGTGGTAGGGCGTGAGGGTGTTAGGATGCTAGGGTTATGGTGCTCGAGTTCGGGCATCCTGGCTGAGTCTCGGGTTCCTGAGGAGGGGAACTGCTTGCGCGGCCCAGAAAAAGGGGGGGAGCTTCCAAGCTCTTTTCCTTTAGCCGGAAGGGTGGGGAGGGGGGGCTGCCAAGCCCCCCCCCCCCTTTAGCCAAAAAGAGAGGGTGGGGGGATGTGGGGGGGGGGGGCTGGCGGGGGGGTTCCAAAGGGCGGGGGTAGCTAAGCCCTCCCCCTTTGGAAAGGGGGGGAGGGGGGGCGGGGGGGAGCTTCCGGAGCGCGAAAGAGGTGGAGGGGGGGGGGGTAGTTTCCGCGGGGCGTAAGACAGGGGGGGGGGCTTCTGGCAGGAGGGGTCCACAGGGGGAACGGGGGCGGCAGCCAAGCCACACACCCCTCATTTCGGGACTGGGGGGAGGGTGGGTAGCTTCTGGAGCGCGAAAGGGGAGGAGAGGGGGGTAGCTTCGGGGGGCCGGACAAAAAGGCGGGGAAGGGGATGGGGGCTCCAAGGGGGTCCAAGGGGGGGGTAGCTAAGGGGGCACCCCCCCTGCTCTGGCGCTGCGCGCGCGCTCTCTCAGAGGAGGAGGAGGAGGAGGAGGAGGAGGAGGAGGAGGAGGAGGAGGAGGAGGAAGAAGAAAACGACAATGTGGAATCTCACGAGGAACATGATGAGGAGTTCGTAAGAGGAGGGGGGCGAGAAGCAGTGAGATGAAGAGATACAGGAGGAGGCATAGGAATAGGAGGAGTATGCAGAGGAGGAAGCTATGATATCCAGGAGGATCAGGATGAGGAGGATGACGAGGAGGAGAGTGGGGAAGAGGGATGAGGAGGAGTAGGCGTGGTGGAAGGAGGAGGGCTAGGGCAAGATGGATAATTACGTGGATGCGGGGGAAGACGACGACGACCATCACGAAAAGCTCCGCGACGACGCCGAAGGCGCAGGCGGATCAGAAGCAGGAGATCGCGCGAACACTCTTAGGAGCCACCTTGGCTCAAAAATCGCTGTTTGGGGATACTGGGACCTGGCTATCGTTAGACTGGAGAATATCTGAGGTGCAACCAGTGTTTTTGCAAGCTGTGTTGTGCATCTTCGTTGCGCAATGTATCGGGTGCGATTGATTTTGACTCCCTCGTGCGTGACCACCTCCTACGCTCGCGCAGACAACCCACCCATCTGCACGCAACTTGGTTTGCTAAACCCATGCGGCGCCGATTGCGATGGCTGCTTGGCGCTGGCTGTTGCACCGCTGCGGCCGCGCCAGCGCGCGCAGGCTCGCGCGCAGAGCGACCAGCCAGTCTGGCGCGACCGACGCGGCCGCGGTGGCGCTGATCGTTGGGGACTTCCCGGCGCGTCTCACAGGCCGCGCTGACGCGCGGGCACGCCAGTGCGTGTCGGTGACTCGGGCGGGCGCAGTATCATGGCGACGTCGACACCGACAGGCACGATGATGATAGTAGCGATGCTGGTGACGATGGTGACAATGACAACGGCAAGGGCATCACGGCGACGATGCTGATCACGCCGATGACGTCGATGGTGGCCACGCGTCGACGGTTGAGGTCTGAGAAGGATTTCGGATCCACGCGCGGGCGACGCGCGCGAATGCCCCGCGCGGTGTTGTTTGAAAGGGATCGTGCCCCCCCCAGCACGCGCGCAAGGGCGTCCGAATGTTCCGACGCGCGCGCGAGAGGCGTCGCATTTGATGAGTACGTTGGGAAACCGATGGTTCTCTCACGAGCTCGCAAGAGCGCGCAGACATATTTGATAACGCATGTTGCGCAACCGTGTGATTATGTGTTTGGGAGACACTCGTCTTTGAAATCCTTACGACACCCTTGGTGTTTGAAGGATTCCGGCCAGCACGCGCGACGACCCGCGAGTGCGTGGACGCTGCAAGGCCTCTCAGTAGTAAACGAGTTCGCGCGCTGAGCATCCGTTGTCAAGGATGAAGGGGGGGCGTCAGGTGATGCAGTTGACGTAGTGCAATTCATGTAGGAGAAATTGAAATTGTCAACTCCACTGTTCGCACAGTCATCCCACCCAACGACCCGCAATTTGGTTTGAAAAACCCACGCGGCGGCGATTGCGATGGCCGTTTGGCGCTGGCTGGCGCATCGCTGCGGCCGCGCCAGTGCGCGCAGGCTCGCGCGCAGAGCAGCCAGCTAGTTTGGCGCCGGCGACGCGGCCGCGTTAGTGTTGGCTGCGGGGGACTCACCAGCGCGTCTCGCAGGCCGCGTTGACGCGCGGGCATGTCAGTAGAGTCGGTGACTTGGGCGGGCGCGGTATCATGGCGACGTCGACACAGGCGGACACGATGATGATAGTAACGACGTTGGTGGCGATGATGACAGTGAGGACGGCAAAGCCAAGGAAGGCGCGGATGCTGATCACGCCGATGGCGATGATGCCCACGCGTCGGCGATGAAATTTGTGGAAACATTTCGGCATCCACGCGCGCAAGGGCGTTCGAATGTTCCGACACATGTTATTATTCGGCAGAGATCGTGCCACCCCTGCCCCCCCCCCAGCACGTGCGCAACGGCGTTCGAATCATGTCGACACACGCGCGCGCAACAGACCCGTTTGGTCGCACGTAATGGAAATCATGAAACACCCTACGTGCCTTCATGAATTCGCAACAGCGCGCACAAATCTTCAAACGATTTGAATGATGTCGGCATGCGCGCTACGTCACGCGTGTGCCTTTTTTGTCGCCCCGCTATTTGTATGGAGTTCCTGCACACTTGTGATTTGGTGTACTTGAGTGTGCGCGCACAGTGTTTTCTGCAAGGGGTGTGGGGGGGTCGATACCGGTTGGGCTGGGATGGTGCGAACTTATTGCTCAAATGAACGATGGGGTGGGGACGTGTGTAAATTTCAAACCGGCGACGGCGGCAACATGCCGCCTGAGCGGCACACAGGCCCGACGGGCGGCGACGAGGCGGCGACGGGGCGGCGACGGCGGCAACAAAGCCGCCAGAGCGGCAGACGTTGAAGGACGAGGAAGGGGAAATCGAGTAGGATGTTCCTCGCGCCGGGCGCCCAGATGGGTCCGATCAACCGCCCGGCCGAGAAGCCCCTGCGGATGCCCGTGCTCCGGGTCCAGGACCCTGCCCAGCTGCGCCACCCGCTTCTGGTGGAGCTTGTGGCCGGTGTCATCGTCGTCGTCCTTTTCCTCTCGCCGTGCAGAGAGCGTAACCTGCAGGAAAGGGGCCCAGGGACGTCTTCCCCGTCTCTGGGCTCCGGGTGCCCTGCGCAGGCCCAGGGGCCGTGAACATAACGATTCAGGGCGAGAAGCCAGCCCGGAGGGAACACCTGGGATTTCGGGCGCGTTTCCTGCAGGTCCCCTCTTTTTTCATACCAATATTCGGCTGCCTCCTCCTCCTCCTCGTGTGCCTTCTCTGCCTGTTACTCTTCGCGCGAGGGTAGCCATCGCAAGCGAACCATCTGTCAGCGTGGGATTGCTCCAACACTTTCTTCAACGATCCGCCACCACACCCATTTTCTGAGCTTCCTTCTTGTTGCCGACCTCTTTGATTGTTGGTATTGCTGTTGCACTGGTTTCGGAGACCCCCTGTCTGCTTGTCGTCTTCCTCCAACTACCTCGTCGTCATCCTTATGATTCTCATGTGCCTCCTTCTCCTCCCTAGCCCTTTTCGTTTGATTCGCATGCCCGTTATCATTACAATTCTTGTCTTCCTTCCTTCCTCGGGTATCTGTCTGCTCCTCACTGACTTGCTATACACTGCCTCGCTGCAGGAGGTTTCGGGCGCGGGTGTGGTCATCGCCTTAGCGCGCCATCAATGAAGCGTGTGCCGCAGCCGCCACTTGCGATGCGCATCACGGGCGCCTGGACCAGTCGCCGCCCTACCCCTTCCACCCTCTGTCTTCTCCTCTTCATCCTACTGCTCCCAAGTAATTATCTTCCTTTCTCCCCCCCTTCGCCCTCCTCCTTCTCTCACGCCTGGCATCATCGTCCACATTTCCCTGATCGTGCTATTGCTCATCCGCCTGCGACAGTTCTTGCTTGGCCAGCTGTAGATGTCGATGCCCGCCGAAGCCCGACGCGTTGTTTTCCCACGTTTACGTGTCGAATGTTTAACGCTTGTTAAATGTTGGGAGCCCGCCCATGTTCTCTTCCCAAACATGGTTGTGTGTTGTACTTACTGTTTCCACTCTGCATCCCGATCACGCCTTTCGTGACTCTCTCTCTCAGTCGCCCTGTCTCTCTCTCTCTCTCTCTCTCTCTCTCTTCTTCTCTTTCTCTCTCTCTCTCTCTCTTTCCCTTTCTCTTTGCATATTTAGTATGTCAAATATGGCCTTCGACCTATAACGCCACTGCGCCGGGGTTGTGGGTCAAAGGCCTCTTCGATGGTTGTTGGGATCTCGACGAGGCCTCGCGGGGGCCTCCTGGAGACAGCTGTTAAGCCTCTAGGGCCTCTTTTGGGCCTCTGGGGACCTCGTGGGGACCTCTTGGGGGCCTCTTGGGACCTCTTGGGTGCCTCTAGGGGCCTCCTGGGCGCATCTTGGGGCGGAAGGCTGGGAGTTTCGGTTCGTGTTCCCCTTGCCGGGCCCCTCTTGGGGCCGTCTTGGGGCCCTCTTGGGCCGTCTTGGGTGTCTTTTGGGCTATATATTGGGGCCTTCTTTGGGGCCTTCTTGGGGGCCTCTGGGTCCGTCTTGGGGCCCTTTTCTGGGGCCTCTTGCAACGTCTTGGAGCGTCGGAGCCCCTGTCCAGGTCCAGGGGGAGGGTGTCGGTGGAGGGGTCAAGACACCCTCCTAGATAGCAAGCCGTCTAGCTCACTCCCCTCAGCATGTTCAGCGGTCGCCTTTGGATGGACAGCTACTGGGAACCAAAACCGACCCCATGTGCGCGAAGCTGGGGCGAGGTGCGCCACGCCTGCCAGGCGCGCTACGCGCGCCAGGCACCCCTGGGGCCCGAGCGTGCAAGGCACGCCTGGTGCGCCAGATGCGCTACGTGCTCCGAGTGCGCCAGGTGTGCCGCAAGCCGCGCCAGGTGCACCACGTTCGGGGCACGTGCAGAGTGTGTCAGGTGCGCCCGTGCACGTGGCAGCACACATCGGGAAACATGTCGGCCCCCACCAACCTTGTCGAAAACCAATGCCCATCATAATGTCTGGTGGGCCTGCACACAGCAGGCCATGCGCCACCACCCAGCTGTCCCTGTCAAAACTACTCTGCAATCATCGCGGGAAGGCCTCGCATGATCCAGATTTAGCCGCGAGGTGCATGTGATATTATTTGTGATAGGGATAGTGGTCTTGCGCACAACAGGCAATATGCTGACACCACCGCCGTCCCCGTCAAAAAATAATACAAAGTGCCCGCGGGCCTCACGAACATGCCTCAAGACTTTGCTCCAAAGTGTACTGTGTATTGTTTCTTGACAGGGATGGTGGGGGGGGAACCTGCATCGGCGTGGTTGCGCTGGGTCCGAATTTGGAGGCAGAGTGTGCTTTATGTTGTTTGTGACAGGGACGGTTGGGGGTTGGGGAGCATGGGGTCAGCATTGTTCCTGGTTGGCTGCCAGTCGCCTGGGGGAGGGGGTGTACATTAGTAAGGAGCAACGGTAAGGCCCCTCTCCGAAGGGGAAGATGAGCCTCCCTGAATCACTCACACCCTGCAGGGCTGGTGGGAGTCGATCTCTCCCCCCCCCTTCCTCCCCTTCCTCCCCTCCGCCTGGCTCCCGCTGGCGCGTGGGGGCGGCGGCCCAGGTCATCACCGGGCGCCTGGAGACCGGCGCCCTCCGCAGCGGGATCAAGCTGAAGTTCTGCCCCGGCGGGCAGGAGGCAGAGGCCGGCTCTGCCGCGGCCGAGAGCGCACAGAGTGGGCAGGCTCTCTGTGAGGCGGCCAAGGAGATCTCACGGGGCTTCTGCGAAAAAGCATCAAGGGGGCCTCCTGGGGGCCCAGACCTCCCACGACGCGGGCCGCGATCGGCAGCGACAGGGGGAGGAACACAGGGAGGAGGAGGAGGAGGAGGAGGAGGAGGAGGAGGAGGAGGAGGAGGAGGAGGAGGAGGAGGAGGAGGAGGAGGAGGAGGAGGAGGAGGAGGAGGAGGAGGGAGGAGGAGGAGGAGTTAGGAGGAGGAGGAGAGGGAGGAGGTGGAGGAGAAGAGGAGGAGGAGGAGGAGGAGGAGGAGAGGACTGGAGTAACCCAAGATGTGCCAACGATGCCGCAGTACACCCCCTCCCTTCCCAAGCAACTCGACAAGGGGGTGGGAGGAGGGAGGAGGAGGAGGAGGAGGAGGAGGAGGAGGAGGAGGAGGAGAAGGAGAAGTACTAACGCCACAGCTTTCTGCCCAGGTCGGCATACCGTTTAAAAAAAGAGGAGGAGGTGGAGGAGGAGGAGGAGGAGGAGGAGGAGGAGGAGGAGGAGGAGGAGGAGGAGGAGGAGAAGGAGAAGTACTAACACCACAGCTTTCTGCCCAGGTCGGCATAACGTTTAAAATTATGCTAACGGAGTTCCCCACATAAAGAGATTAACGGTTTCGTGGGACCCATTTTCTTGATGCCCTCCTCGCGACGCAGGAGGGGTGGGAGGGGCACGAAACCATGTAAATAGTATGGTATTCCGATACCCTCCTCGCTCAGGCGGGGCCTCCCTGGAGGGGTGGGAGGGGCACGAAACCATGTAAATAGTATGGTATTCCGATACCCTCCTCGCTCAGGCGGGGCCTCCCTGGAGGGGTGGGAGGGGCACGAAACCATGTAAATAGTATGGTATTCCGATACCCTCCTCGCTCAGGCGGGGCCTCCCTGGAGGGGTGGGAGGGGCACGAAACCATGTAAATAGTATGGTATTCCGATACCCTCCTCGCTCAGGCGGGGCCTCCCTGGAGGGGTGGGAGGGGCACGAAACCATGTAAATAGTATGGTATTCCGATACCCTCCTCGCTCAGGCGGGGCCTCCCTGGAGGGGTGGGAGGGGCACGAAACCATGTAAATAGTATGGTATTCCGATACCCTCCTCGCTCAGGCGGGGCCTCCCTGGAGGGGTGGGAGGGGCACGAAACCATGTAAATAGTATGGTATTCCGATACCCTCCTCGCTCAGGCGGGGCCTCCCTGGAGGGGTGGGAGGGGCACGAAACCATGTAAATAGTATGGTATTCCGATACCCTCCTCGCTCAGGCGGGGCCTCCCTGGAGGGGTGGGAGGGGCACGAAACCATGTAAATAGTATGGTATTCCGATACCCTCCTCGCTCAGGCGGGGCCTCCCTGGAGGGGTGGGAGGGGCACGAAACCATGTAAATAGTATGGTATTCCGATACCCTCCTCGCTCAGGCGGGGCCTCCCTGGAGGGGTGGGAGGGGCACGAAACCATGTAAATAGTATGGTATTCCGATACCCTCCTCGCTCAGGCGGGGCCTCCCTGGAGGGGTGGGAGGGGCACGAAACCATGTAAATAGTATGGTATTCCGATACCCTCCTCGCTCAGGCGGGGCCTCCCTGGAGGGTGGGAGGGGCACGAAACCATGTAAATAGTATGGTATTCCGATACCCTCCTCGCTCAGGCGGGGCCTCCCTGGAGGGGTGGGAGGGGCACGAAACCATGTAAATAGTATGGTATTCCGATACCCTCCTCGCTCAGGCGGGGCCTCCCTGGAGGGGTGGGAGGGGCACGAAACCATGTAAATAGTATGGTATTCCGATACCCTCCTCGCTCAGGCGGGGCCTCCCTGGAGGGGTGGGAGGGGCACGAAACCATGTAAATAGTATGGTATTCCGATACCCTCCTCGCTCAGGCGGGGCCTCCCTGGAGGGGTGGGAGGGGCACGAAACCATGTAAATAGTATGGTATTCCGATACCCTCCTCGCTCAGGCGGGGCCTCCCTGGAGGGGTGGGAGGGGCACGAAACCATGTAAATAGTATGGTATTCCGATACCCTCCTCGCTCAGGCGGGGCCTCCCTGGAGGGGTGGGAGGGGCACGAAACCATGTAAATAGTATGGTATTCCGATACCCTCCTCGCTCAGGCGGGGCCTCCCTGGAGGGGTGGGAGGGGCACGAAACCATGTAAATAGTATGGTATTCCGATACCCTCCTCGCTCAGGCGGGGCCTCCCTGGAGGGGTGGGAGGGGCACGAAACCATGTAAATAGTATGGTATTCCGATACCCTCCTCGCTCAGGCGGGGCCTCCCTGGAGGGGTGGGAGGGGCACGAAACCATGTAAATAGTATGGTATTCCGATACCCTCCTCGCTCAGGCGGGGCCTCCCTGGAGGGGTGGGAGGGGCACGAAACCATGTAAATAGTATGGTATTCCGATACCTTCCTCGCTCAGGCGGGGCCTCCCTGGAGGGGTGGGAGGGGCAGTGATATGGTATGGTATGCTATGGTACGCCATGGTATGGTATGGTACGGTATGGTACGCCATAGTATGGCGTGTGTGGTAGGAATAATATTGTGCTGTATGGAAGATGGAGCGGGAGGTGGGTGGGAAGGAGAGGGCGTTCTGGGAAAATTATGCTAACGGAGTTCCCCACATAAAGGGATTAACGGTTTCGTGGGACCCATTTTCTTGATGCCCTCCTCGCGACGCAGGAGGGGTGGGAGGGGCACGAAACCATGTAAATAGTATGGTATTCCGATACCCTCCTCGCTCAGGCGGGGCCTCCCTGGAGGGGTGGGAGGGGCACGAACCATGTAAATAGTATGGTATTCCGATGCCTTCCTCGCTCAGGCGGGGCCTCCCTGGAGGGGTGGGAGGGGCACGAAACCATGTAACTAGTATGGTATTCCGATACCCTCCTCGCTCAGGCGGGGCCTCCCTGGAGGGGTGGGAGGGGCACGAAACCATGTAAATAGTATGGTATTCCGATACCCTCCTCGCTCAGGCGGGGCCTCCCTGGAGGGGTGGGAGGGGCACGAAACCATGTAAATAGTATGGTATTCCGATACCCTCCTCGCTCAGGCGGGGCCTCCCTGGAGGGGTGGGAGGGGCACGAAACCATGTAAATAGTATGGTATTCCGATACCCTCCTCGCTCAGGCGGGGCCTCCCTGGAGGGGTGGGAGGGGCACGAAACCATGTAAATAGTATGGTATTCCGATACCCTCCTCGCTCAGGCGGGGCCTCCCTGGAGGGGTGGGAGGGGCACGAAACCATGTAAATAGTATGGTATTCCGATACCCTCCTCGCTCAGGCGGGGCCTCCCTGGAGGGGTGGGAGGGGCACGAAACCATGTAAATAGTATGGTATTCCGATACCCTCCTCGCTCAGGCGGGGCCTCCCTGGAGGGGTGGGAGGGGCACGAAACCATGTAAATAGTATGGTATTCCGATACCCTCCTCGCTCAGGCGGGGCCTCCCTGGAGGGGTGGGAGGGGCACGAAACCATGTAAATAGTATGGTATTCCGATACCCTCCTCGCTCAGGCGGGGCCTCCCTGGAGGGGTGGGAGGGGCACGAAACCATGTAAATAGTATGGTATTCCGATACCCTCCTCGCTCAGGCGGGGCCTCCCTGGAGGGGTGGGAGGGGCACGAAACCATGTAAATAGTATGGTATTCCGATACCCTCCTCGCTCAGGCGGGGCCTCCCTGGAGGGGTGGGAGGGGCACGAAACCATGTAAATAGTATGGTATTCCGATACCCTCCTCGCTCAGGCGGGGCCTCCCTGGAGGGGTGGGAGGGGCACGAAACCATGTAAATAGTATGGTATTCCGATACCCTCCTCGCTCAGGCGGGGCCTCCCTGGAGGGGTGGGAGGGGCACGAAACCATGTAAATAGTATGGTATTCCGATACCCTCCTCGCTCAGGCGGGGCCTCCCTGGAGGGGTGGGAGGGGCACGAAACCATGTAAATAGTATGGTATTCCGATACCCTCCTCGCTCAGGCGGGGCCTCCCTGGAGGGGTGGGAGGGGCACGAAACCATGTAAATAGTATGGTATTCCGATACCCTCCTCGCTCAGGCGGGGCCTCCCTGGAGGGGTGGGAGGGGCACGAAACCATGTAAATAGTATGGTATTCCGATACCCTCCTCGCTCAGGCGGGGCCTCCCTGGAGGGGTGGGAGGGGCACGAAACCTGTAAATAGTATGGTATTCCGATACCCTCCTCGCTCAGGCGGGGCCTCCCTGGAGGGGTGGGAGGGGCACGAAACCATGTAAATAGTATGGTATTCCGATACCCTCCTCGCTCAGGCGGGGCCTCCCTGGAGGGGTGGGAGGGGCACGAAACCATGTAAATAGTATGGTATTCCGATACCCTCCTCGCTCAGGCGGGGCCTCCCTGGAGGGGTGGGAGGGGCACGAAACCATGTAAATAGTATGGTATTCCGATGCCCTCCTCGCTCAGGCGGGGCCTCCCTGGAGGGGTGGGAGGGGCAGTGATATGGTATGGTATGCTATGGTACGCCATGGTATGGTATGGTACGGTATGGTACGCCATGGTATGGTGTGTGTGGTAGGAATAATATTGTGCTGTATGGAAGATGGAGCGGGAGGTGGGTGGGAAGGAGAGGGTGTTCTGGGAAAACAAGAACCCCACTCAGGATGTGGGGAACAAGAACCCCACTCAGGATGTGGGGAAAAAGAGGAGGAGGTGGTGGAGGAGGAGGAGGAGGAGAGAAAAGGAGGACTAGAATACACCCGAGATGTACCAGCGATGCTCGATGCTGAAATACAGTCGGACCGAGGCATAAGGTCGATCTCGGCTCGGGGAGGGTACCCTAGTGTTTTTCGTGCTTGTTGGATGTTCTTGTGCGTCCTGGGGAGGGTGCACTCGGGGTGTTATGTGTGTGCTTTTGCCGGCGGAGGGTCTCACGTTCTTGGAGGATGCTCTTCTGGCCTGGGCCGGACTATACGCTCAGAAGGTCGGGTGACTTGCCCAGCGAGGGCCCCGCTTTGAGAAAGGGCCCCCCGGAATCCGTGGCCAATCAAGGGCCTCCAGGGGCCTACTACTAAGCGGGCCCCCTGACCTGGGGTCCTGGCTATACCCGACTCCTGGCGGCGCGCGCCAAGGGGGGACGGAGGGAGGGGGGAGGGCGTCTTGGAAGGAGGCTGCTTCTCAGAAGGCGCCGGCCTTGCATCTGCAGACAAGGCCCACGCCTTCGCAGAAGCACGGGTGCCACCTCCCTCCAGTGCCAGACGTCGGGCCGTACAACCTGAGGAAGTCTCCATCGAGAGCCCCATTTGGCAGCGGAGCCGCCCTCCCTCCGCGCAGCTGCTCCACACATCATAGGTATTCGATCGCACGGGTTAAGGTTTTAAGTCGGACATGCCCCTCTACAGGAGGAGTATTCAGAAATAGTCCAGACGGTCTGGGGACGATTTTTCTCGCATGTTTTGACTACGCTTGAGTCTGCTTTGACTGCTTCCTGTGTCTCGCCCCAGATCCGCCTGTAGGGCCTACATGGCGATCCAAGACTAAGGACGTCTCCAACGAAAGCCGAACGTGCAAAAAGGGAGCCGGCCTCCGTCCGCGCAGGTGCCGGAAGCCTCGAGGGCGGCCGTGCGCGGTGCCGAAGCAAGAGCCGCGCCTCTAGGAAGCGATCCGACCTCTGCCCGTGCAGGCTGTCGGGGGCCTGCAAGTGTGCACGCGGCGCGCTGGGGCGAGGAGCCACGCTGGGACCCTCCCCCTCCACCCGTTAGGGGGCCGCATGCGAACCTTACCCCCAAACCCCCACGATTTGGACCCTACCCCTAACCCCCTACCCCTAACCCCCTACCCCTAACCCCCTAGCCCCTAACCTTACCCCTAACCCCCCTAACCCCCTAACCCCCACGAAGCGAGCCCCACCCTCCCCTTCAGAAATCGTGGAGGATGGGGGCAGGGTTCGCATGTGGCCCCCTGCCGATGTAAGTCTTAGAGAAACGTTCGTTCGGGACGAATGCGCTCGGTGCTGAGGCGAGAGCCACACGAGCGACGCAAGGAAAACGGGGTCGTCTGCGTCGACCTTGGCGCGCAAGCTGCCCGCGTAAGCTCGCGCGTAAGCGCCCTCGTCTGCAATGCAGCGTGCCGCGCCGGCGGCGCGCGTAAGCCGCCGCGTAAGGTCGCTACGCCATCTCGCGTAAGACCCGTTTCTGCTCGTCGCCCGCATTTCGAAGCCGACGCCTTCCACACTCCGTGCAGCTGCTGGTAATTTCCAGCAGCGGGGCCACGAATGGGGGGGAAGTCTCCGACGAAACGCCCGCCCCCGCTCAAGACGGACGAGCGCCCCATGGCCCATGCGTTGGTTGGAGTCCGTGGCAGCGGAGCACGGTGCCCACTTCAGCGCCAGCAGCGGCCCCCACGCCCACGACGACGCCGCGGCCGGGAGCCTCAACAGGCCCGCCGAGCAGGCCTGGGCAGTCTCGACGCCCTGGCGCCGCCTGCGGCGGCGCCCCTGGGACAGTTGAGACCGCCCCAGACTACTCGGAGTTCGGTCGCGTATCATGGGAGCCTTGCATTGTATGTCCTCGGGATTTCGTTTTTGGGTGCATGAGCGTGCGCTAGCGTCTGGTAGACGATCTTATCTAGCGCCGAGGTAGCGTCGATGAGTGTCGGCTAGCGTCGACGAGCGTCGATTCGCAAGAGCCAGCATGAGGGCACAGAAGGGACCTGTTGAGGCCAGCCGGGGCTGCCTGGGGTGGCTGTCTGCGCGCGACCCGAAACCTCACCGCTCGGGATTCCGAGAAGTGCTGAAAACCTCAGCGCGATCTGTACCCGTCGCCAGGGCCAGTGGCAGAGTAGCTAGTGGGTGCTCCTCCATCCACCTTGATGTGCCCAAGCGCCGAGGAGAATCACGAAGTGCCCGGAGGACGCTGCCGCTGCCGCCCACTGCCAGCTGGTCCCGCCGGGCAGGCGTCGCCAGCCGGCGTCCCCGGCGCCTCGTCGTCGGACCTCGGCGGCGACGGCCCTGGAGGCTCCGACCCCCTCGTCGCGCTCCAAGCCTGGCAGGCGGCCCGTTTGCTGTGAGGGCGCTGTGCCGTTTGCTGTGAGGGCTCTCGGGGCTGGCCAGGCTGTCGGCCCGCATCAAGTCGCACCTCTCTGCGTCGAGGGCCACGTCGAAGCTCAGCACTGCGACGCGCACGGCGCTGCCGTGAGCACTCCAACGCCAGGGGGGGGCGTTTCCAGCGCCCGACGATTCCCCCAGAGCAGGCTCAGCACGACCAGCTCACACCTGCAGATACGCCAGGGCATCGGGTCAGCGGTTGCGCTCTCACTCCCGTGTGCTCGCCCGTGCGGACTTTGGCCAAGCTCTGGCAGCGGCACGCAGGAGGCCGGCGGCTCGCCGCGGTAATGGGTCGCCTCGTCTAGCGCGCAGCCAGCATCTCGCTCTTCGAGTTGGACCACATGCCATGCCCTTGTCTCACTCGTGTACCCAGACATCCGGCTGCTCCAATTGGTTCGATGCGTGGGCCCCTGAGGTCCAGACCATTTCCCCGGGGCCGGTTTTTCGTCCTGAGTCGTTTTTTGACGCTCCCGAGGCCCGGCGAGGGCCCCCGGAGGCCGAAAACCGGTAAAATCCCCCTGCTCCAAATTTTTGGGAGCATCGGATCTCTGGGTGAAGCTTTTCGCTCGATTAGCTAGCACATACACGCGCTTCCTCAAGGAGCCCTCGCGGCAGGCGTCGTCCATGCTGCTGGCCCCGCCTTCCTGTGCCAGGGCGGCGCGGGAGCACGCGCTGACGAAGGGCCACTGCGAGGCCGGTGAAGCCGCCAGCAGCTTCTCGGGGGGGCGGTGGCGAGTTGTCGGGCCCGAGAGCGGTACCCGTACGAGCGGGGCCCCCATCCGACATCACACACCTATGGCCCTCCTGGGAATTTTACCCCGGGATTTCTGAGGTTCGTATAGGTGTGGGTGTTAGTTGTCAGCTCGTGGCGCCCTGGGTGGTGTCAGTCGGCCATCGGCGTGCCAGCCTGACCATGGTCCAGAGGTTCTCAGCAATTTGCGCTCTAAGACCGCGCTGTCGCCCGAAGTGTCTGCTCACACCGTCAGGCATGCCTCGAATTGAGATGAATCGGTCCAGAGCGTTACGGAGCTCTCCGAAGCAGCCGCGGCGCCAGAACCCGCCGATTCTCAGAGGTTTCCGAGATGTATCGGTCCGAGGGTTGTCTCGACTCTGCTGTGTCCCATCGGTAATCAGGCGGCCCATGCGGGCCGCCCTCTCGTGTGGGCCGTGGCACTCCACTGGCCTGCTGCATGTCAGCGAGGAGCACCTTGGCTGCCAGCTTGGCCGAGACCTCGCGTGCCAGCGTCGCTGCCGGACCGTGCTCGGCGCGTATTGTGAGGCTGTGCTTCCGGGAGGTGCCGTGAGGCGGGCACTCCTGCTGCCTCATTCCACCATGACGAGGAGGGAGGTACCAGCCACGCGCAGAGGGGTGTAGGGGGAGGGGGGAAGGCTTCTCAGAGGTACCCCCTGCTTCTTAGAAGGCGCGGGCCTTGCCTGTAGATGCAAGGCCCTAGGAGGCGCGGACCTTGTTTGCAAATGTAAGGCCCGCGCCTTCTAGAAGCAGCCTCCTTCTAAGAAGCCTTCAGCCCTCCCCCTACCCCCCCCCCCTTTTGCGCGCCACCAACGGTAGGGAGGGAGAGCGAGGAGGGAGGAGGGAGGAAGAGAGGAGGACGGAGGAGGGAGGACGACGTGTGCTGCTTTCTTGAGGCATCGCATGCACGTATCATCCGAGAGGTGCCCTTGCCGATCTCGTAATGATGATACTGCGGAGTCTCTGCCTTTTGTGGGGGAAGGCCGAGATCCAGGTGCCAGATGCCGAGGTTCAGTGCGCAGTTTTCCATTGCGCGGAAGGTTGGATTTTGTCAGGGGCATTGCCTTGCCCTCATTCCCAAGTCCCCACCCTGTGCTTTTCTCCTGCGCTGGTGCTACCATGTGCTGTTGATATGGTTGCGCATCGGGACATCAGGAGATCGAGGGAGGACGAGGGAAGAGGAGGGCCGTCGAGGACGAGGTAGGAGGGAGGGAGGACGGTCGAGGACGAGGGAGGGATGACGAGGGAGGACGAGGGAGGACGAGGGAGGGAGGACGAGCGGTCAAGGGGAGGAGGAGGAGGAGGAGGAGGAGGAGGAGAGGAGGAGGAGGAGGAGGAGGAGGAGGAGGGAGGAGGAGGAGGAGGAGGAGGAGGAGGAGGAGGAGGAGGGGGGGAGGGAGGGGGAGGAGGGGGGGGCGCGCGGGCACCTCCGCGGGCTGGAGGCGGAGTCCCCTTCCAAGCGTGTGCTCTCGCTCTCGACATCCGCGGCCCCTTGGGGCGGCAGGGCTGGTCTCTTGCCGCCTCCGGGGAACTGCTTCAAAACAGAAGCATCGATGCATGACGAGAATCTAGTGGGGCGTCTCCCTCTACAGGAGGGCTATTCGAAACGAGGAAGACTTGTCTGGGGACGGGCGTTCTGACAATTGTTGGCTACCTGGAATGTTTTTGCCTACGTGTCTGTCTTCCCACATCCGCCCGTGGGAGGTCATGCCCGACCCAAGACGAGGACCTCGTCCTCGACCGCAGCCGTGCCTGCGTGTCTCTTGCGGCCCTCGGGCGCTACCGAGCCGACCACGTCCTCGGATGGAGGGGCAGAAGGTGTCATCAACCACGACAGGCCCTTTGGGCGCACAACCCGCGACAGGAATTGTTGCCCGTGCGCGGGTGCATTTGCGGTTTCGTGCGCCTGGTTCTTTCTCCCCTCCTGCGTTTCACTCCTTTCCTGCCGCGCGTCGCAAGCTCAGGGGGTTCAGGCTTGCTTCATCGGGTTGCGTTCTGCGGGGGAGAAAAAACATGCCATAAGCAAGTGTTCTGAGGTCCGCGCGGATTTCTTAGATCGGCGCTGGGGCCCCCTTGGCGGCGCCTCCAGCGCACCGCCCCTGGCGCGCTCCGCGCCCCACGGAAGGGGGCTCAGCCCCGATGCGTGAAGTCAGCGCGGACCGCCGTGTAGCACCGTTTGTTCTCCAATCGTGCGAAAGAGCCATGGCGCCAGCATCGCGGAGCGGAGTTCGTTCGGAAAACAACAGGATGGGCCCAGAGCGTCCTGGCGAATTTCGTTCCGGATTTCGAAGTGAATTTCGTGCGGATTTCTTTTGGTCAGGAATGAAGGCTCAAACCATCCACGTGAAGTTCACCTCGTTTTTCGCTCGCCGTTTCGGGGTTTTGCATGGACAGAAATCCACGCACAAATCCGCTGTGGCACGTCTGCAAGGTCGGTGCCATGAAAAGAGCCCAGACACATCTCGGCGCGGGAGCGAGCGCGCAGGAACGTAGACGAGGAACACTTGCAGACAAGGTCGCAGGTGGAGGAGGAGGAGAAGGAGGAGGAGGGAGGAGGAGGAGGCGCTCTCCTCTTCTCCGCGAGCGGTGCTTGCGCTAGCGGAACGGGTTGGGAGGATGGGGTTCGGGAGAAGTGGGGTAGGGAGGAAGACAACTATCGGGTCGGGGGGATGGGGTCAGGAGGCATGATCAGATCATCAATATTACCGCGTATGTTGAAGGTGTTTGTTGCACAGTTGTACCCTGTATCTTCCCAGCCCCTTCTCTCAACACGATCATACTCAGGAGGGAAAAAACACACAGACACAATTCATCCTTGATTCCCCAGAAAAAATATAAGAAAGTATGGGAAGTGGGGGGGAAGACGAAAGCCAAAACAACATTGGAAAATATGGGGAATTGCTTTATGTGTTTGTATTTATTTGTGTGTCCTGGGGCCCCTTCAGATTCTCTTCGTCAGAAGTGGTTCTCACTGACTATGCCGAGTATTGGAATGACGTGTCCGGGTTTTCGCCCGGTGGGCGCACGTCGCCGCCTCGTGCGCCCATTCGCGCTTCCGGTCAATCGATTGGCGTTATAAGCTAGTAGCCTTTATTATTGGGCGAAGAAGCTTCAACGTGGTACAGTCAGCCCGCATAGTAAGGATGAGAGACTTTCCAAGGCTACCTCCGCATCCTTGCCCATTCGGCCCATCCTTGGCCGCTTTCACTGGCCGCGCCCCGCCCGCAGAGTGTCGACATGGCCTTCCAAGACCCTTGCATCCTTATCGTGCGTGCCTACTGTACGGGTTGATTGAAGTATTGCTGGATTGTTCATCGGGAATGAAAGAAACCCTACGCCTAATAACACAGTGAAGGCGTTGCCTCACTGAGGTCCCCGTCTTTGAATTAGGGATAATACAGTTGGGTGGTCTGGTTCGGTACATCTGCAGAACAGAGCACCTATCCCTGATGTTTTTGGCCCTCCTATTTTTGGTCCCCTCCCGAAGGATTAGGGGTCCTTTTTTGGTTAATCAACTGTGGTAGCCGTACTTGTCATGCTTCGTAGCGTTACCAGTATATTGCTCGGACGGCTACCACCACCTTCATCACCATTCATGTTACTACCACAGGCTAGTGCTAGCGCGACGACTGCTACTACTAGGAGTGGGAGTTGGCCTCTTGATTGTCTCGCCACTCGCGCCTAGCGGCTCCTCGCCGCAGGTGGCTTCAGTATGGAAGGACGGGGTGCAGGCAGCCGTCGCGCCGCCACTCGTTTCTCCTCCTCCTCCTCGATTTCATATGTTCCCTCGCGCTTCTCCATCTCATCTCTCCTTGCCACCCCTTCTGTCCATCCTCCTCCACTTACACATCCTCTTCCTCCCGTATCTGGTTCCACCACCTCCACCGCCTCCACATAATTATGCTTCCACTCGGGCTCTCTTGTCTCTGCTGCGGCTTGTTCGCCTGAGCGTCCATGAGCTGGTCCACGTCTCTGAAGTGGCATGCGCAGCCGCGGTCGACCTTTTCGGTTATCGCCGTTGCAGAATCTGGATTTGACCTCCTCTTTCTCCTCCCTCCTCGTACCCCCTGCTTTTGCCCCTCGGTGATGCAAGCGCCATGAAGTGTGTTGATTGCTCCTCCTTATCCCGCCCCTGCCCTCCTCATCCTCATGCTTTCACTGGTCGGCGAGCGAGGGGGGCAAGTGAGAAGGAGAAGACCCTCAGAAGGCAGCGGGGCTTCTCAGAAGCTCTCGGGCCTTCTAGGAGGTTTGCTGTCTCTTCGGGGAATGCTTCGAACACTTCTCGGAAGGCCGGGGGACTTCACATCCTTCTGGGAGCGCCCGCCCCCTCTCACTTTCCCCCATGCTGCCCACCGATTCACGCCTCACCCGTTTTGCCCGCCTTCCTCGTCCGCATTCCTTTTCGCCCTACAGGTGTCCGACGCCAAGGGCGGCGACATTGTCACCGTGGCCCTTGGCGACGGCGTCGAGGCTGACGACGTCAGAAGGTGGGCGGACATGGAACCCTTCCACCACAGCAGTCTCACAGGTAAGCAAAGTAACTCGTTGGCTAAAACTGGACCCTATCCTCGCCGATCAACGATTCGGGCAACTCGATGGGCGGCGGGGCTATGGTTTGGATGTCGCCAACTAGCAATCTACGGGTCTGCGTTGTGTTGCGGGGCCGCCTGGCCGCCGTGTTGCCGCGGGATTGCCCTCACATTTGCCACAACATCAAGGCATGGCATGCGCCCAGGGTAGCGCGAGAGGACCAGGCGGAGGACGCGGAGGTGTAGACGAGGGGGCGCATGAACAAATCGTGATCATGATTAGCCGCTGTGGTTCGATCAGATTCCGATAATTTCTGTTTTGCCAAGCGCATTACATGCTGCTTCGGGTTTCCGCAGTTCACGTCGTGCTTATTGCAGTCCTGCTTGTACCCTTGTGGTGCCAGCCTCGACCGTCGCAGGGCACGCGCATCATGGACAGTACCAGCCACGACCACACATACTGAATTCGGGCCAGACAATCGCAGACCCGAGCCCCGCGCTTGGCAGCTCCATTGCCTTCCCATTTGCTTCGGGACACAAGCACGCACGTATCCCGCACCGGCCCAACCTGGCCCCCCCCCCATGCTGATGCCATCGGCCCCCCCCCCCCCGAGCGATGGCCCCCTCTTCCCCCTTGTGGGTGTGGTTGGTGCTGTAGGCGTGGCGTGTGTAGCGTGGTACAGTGCTGCCCCAGGAGAGCTCGGGAGGGCGTCGTCATCGCCGCCGCCGCCGTCGTCGTCGTCGGAGGGCTCCGGAGGTCGGCGCCCCCGGCGCCGCCGCCGCCGCCGCCGTCGTCGTCGTCGTCGTCGTCATCGTCGTCGTCGTCGCCGTCGTCGTCGTCGTCGTCATCGTCGCCGTCCTCGTCGTCGTCGACGTCATCGTCGCCGTCGCCGTCGTCGTCGTCGCCGTCGTCGCCGCCGTCGTCGTCGCCGTCATCGCCGCCGCCGCCGTCGTCGTCGTCGGAGGGCTCCGGAGGTCGGCGCCCCCGGCGCCGCCGCCGCCGCCGTCGTCGTCGTCGTCGTCGTCATCGTCGTCGTCGCCGCCGTCGTCGTCGTCGTTGTCGTCATCGTCGCCGTCCTCGTCGTCGTCGACGTCATCGTCGCCGTCGCCGTCGTCGTCGTCGCCGTCGTCGTCGCCGTCGTCGTCGCCGTCGTCGTCGCCGCGCCGTCGTCGTCGTCGAAGGGCTCCGGAGGTCGGCGCCCTGGCGCCGCCGCCGCCGCCGTCGTCGTCGTCGTCGCCGTCGTCGTCGTCGTCGTCCTCGCCGTCGTCGTCGTCGTCTTCGTCGCCGTCCTCGTCGTCGTCGTCGTCATCGTCGCCGTCGCCGTCGTCGTCGTCGTCGCCGTCGTCGTCGCCGTCGTCGTCGCCGTCGTCGTCGTCGCCGTCGTCGTGTCGTCGTCATCGTTGTCGCCGCCGCCGCCGTCGTCGTCGCCGTCGTCGCCGTCGTCGTCGTCGTCGCCATCGCCGTCGTCCTCGTCGTCGTCGCCGTCGTCGTCGTCGTCGCCGTTGTCGTCGTCGTCGTCGTCGCCGTCATCATCGTCGTCATCGTCGTCGCCGTCGTCGTCGTCGTCGTCGTCGTCCCCCTCCATCTCATCAGGGGAAGAGGGCCGAGGGGCCCTGAGACCCATCCCATCTGGGGGAGGGCCGTGGGCGTGGAGCCCGGTTTAGTATGCGAACTTGAACGGTTTGAGCTTCAGCATCTTTGAACATTTTGATGTCTTCAAGTGTACCACTTACAAGTGGTCCAAGGTTTAAAGCATCGGGGATGCCCATTCTCTCACCCTGCATTCCTCTCCCTCCTTCCACAGCTTGCTTTCGGCTGAGGCGGCGCGCCGGATGCTCGCCTCCGGCGTAAGCCTGCGGCGCTGCCGGCCTTTGTTGCTGACGCAGGCGGCCATCTGCGGCTGGTACGTGGGGCCAGCGCCTGCGTCTTTCGGCGCGGCGCCGCAGTGGGCCGAGGTGGTCGTGGAGGCCTGCGATGGGGTTTCGACCGCCGCGAGGCGTGCGGAGGCGGCGGCCCTCGGGGTGGCGACAGCCCTGCCGCCGCCTGCGCCGCCCCTGCCGCCGCCCGAGTGCGGCGTGTGCCCGGCTGTCGAGGGCCTCGCCGAGGGCCTGCGCGAGGCCATGCTGAGCCACGTGCTGCTCGCGCTGACAGCCCCGATCTGGGATCGGGAGGTGCTGCTCCCGCTGCCAACGTGGGCGGGGGCCCGTGAGGCATTGCTTTGGCGCGCGGGCGCTGGACAAGCCGGCCCCGCCCCCCGCGGAGGAGGCGCGGTGCGATGACCTGCCCTGCGGGGCGCGCTGCCCGGCGAGCCGTTCAGGTTACGACATGGGCCACGAGCGCGTCGTGGTGCCCTCCCTCGCTGAGTTCGGCATGCGGCGCGGTGAAGGGCCGCGCCCTCTACTGGGTCGTCTCGCCAGATGGCGACGTGTGGGAGGAGCTGCTGTCCGGGGCCTCGTCCGGGGACTGGCCGTCGGGGGGAGACCGACTCCCTGACAACGACAGCGCGCCGACAGACGGCAGGAAATTCTACAGCGCCCGCTCGCGCCCAGGCCTTTCGGAGCTGGTGCAGATGGCCTCCCGCTGCCGCGAGGCGATTGGGCGACGTGGGCAGGTGTCCGCCGACGGACCCTTCCAAGTCGAGCTGCTTCAGGGGCGGCTGGTGAACGCCAGCAACGTCTTCCCGTCGGCTCCTCCGCCGCCCGCGGGTCCGCGCCACCGCCTGACCATGAAGCAACATGTTTCAGCTGGCGACGGCGCCGCGGAAGCCGCCGCCGTGGACGGCAGCATTCCTACGCCGCCTGCTGCCGGCCGCGTGCGGATGCTGGCGGAGCCCCTGGCTGGTATGGAGGTCGGCGCCGTCGTGGACGTCGCGGGTCAGGTTCTCTTTGGCTCTGGGATCGACGCGCTTTGGATCCATCGCGGCCGAGCCGTGCGCCCCGAGTAGATGGACGCTGACGACGTGCCAGGCTGGGCCTGTGGGCCTCGAGACGACTGGCCGAGTTGCGCGACTCTCTCAAGCTGCCGGTTCCCTCGGCGTCGCGGCGGATGCTCCTTCCACTGCCGAGGCGGTCGCGGGCAGCACACCGGTACCTGATGAATTTGGCGCTGGCCGGGTATAGGTTTCCCGTGGCGCGTCGGCTCCGAAGCCGAGCCCACTGGCTGTGGCCCTGGAGGAGACCGCGGCCGAGGACACCAAGACGCTCTTGGTCGAATGGGGCGATCAGCGAGACCGCTTCAAGGACATCAGGACAGGCGGCCAGCGAGTCGGTGAGCTACGATTTGGGTCACCAGTGCCTGGATGGAGGCATGACATGCTTCCACACGTGCAAGATGATGTAATGCACGTGCGGCATGCCCCGAACTTGGCTTGAAAAGTTCCTGGGAGGTAAGCACATCGACTCCACCGACCGCGTCGCCCACTTGCTGCACCTTTTGGTGAAGGCGCTCGAGGAGGCAGGCTGCTTCGGTGGCCTCGCCTGCCTGGAGGTGATCGCGCGCCCGCTCAATGCGATCGCCGACGCTGGCAGTCCTGGCGAAAGAAACTTTGATATACTTTACTGGGGGTTGTGGCCTCGGGAACGCGAAGCCGCTGTAATGCATTAGGTTGTCTGGCCTCGGGGCATTGGCTTCGGAAGCGCGAGATCGTTATATCGTTCATGTCATCAGGCCCCTTATAGGTTCAACAGCGCCAGTACGTGGTGGTTTGCCCCCCCCCCCCCCCCCCTCGCGGACTTCAACCGCCACATCATTGGAATCAGATAGCAAGTAATCCCTGACTATAGCATTGAAGGTGCAAAATGTTCAGGAAACAGGAACACCTCCGCCTCGCAGCCTGCAGGCCCCGAGTGGGATGGCGGATGAGTGGGACGGCCTTGCAGCACTGAAGCGATGCGCCGTTTTGGACATCGATTACGGCGGTGTGCTGTTCTGCATTGGCTTCCGACAGCATCATTGCACGTGCCTTTTCCGCGCGGCTCGTCGTTGACCTGCTCCGCGGCCCGTATTAGGTCGAGACAAATATCCAGTTGCCTGCGGCACGCCGCCACAGTGCTTGTGCAACAGCGCAGCAGAAAGACTGAGTGCAGGAACGGCGCAATTCCGACGACTGGTCTCAACTGGGACGAGTCGTGAACTCAACCTCATCTTCGTCCGCGCGATAGGGGGAGGTCGATGTCGCGCCCCCTTGCAATTTTGTGAGCGGTCTGAATTGAGGCGGGTCGGGTCAGACCACGTCGATTGCCCCGCCAGGCATGGAGCCCAGCGCCACCCGTCATCGGCCCAAGCCGCAAGGTTTAGGTCGGCGGGCTGGTGAAGAGGAAGCCCTCATGGCGGACATGAAGATCCGCGATGCTGGTGAGCTCCCTGGCACTCGTTTTGGCCCCAAGGGTCCTGGACCGCAGCTGCGTCTCCTGACGATTGTTGGGGGGGTCCGACGTTTCGCGGTCCCTGGGGACCCCGATAAGCTCAGCGTGTTCGTGTCTCTTGCGGGCCACGCGCTCTGGAAAGTTCATGTCGACGGTCCCGATGGCTTCTCCCTCTGCGGAGGTGGCACGGTTATGTTCTGCACTTCTTGCGGAGGTTTGGGGAGGCATCGAGAGTTTAGGTCAGACCTGCCCTTCGCGCCCATCGATGGTCACCCGTCCACGGCAGCGGAACAGGGCAGGTCAAGGCCTCTTTCTTGTCTGGGCCCTTTTCCAGCACAATGGGTGGACCCAGCCATCACTTCTGTTCTCCAGGTCCTTGGGCTCTCTTCTGGCGCATTCCTCCTTCCCTCGTGGGCGGGTGTGTGTGGGGGGTCGTCGCCGTCCGGTTGGGGGGCGGTGAGTCCTTGGACTGCGGAGCGGTGGGGCCTAGCGGAGTCGGCCGCGCGCTCCGGTCTGACCCCCGAGCTGCTGGAGAGCAGCGCCGCACGTATCGAGAGGGAAGAGGCCCCATCTTGATCGTGTGGGTATTCGCATCGTGGGTCGTCGCTATGCCGTCTATCCTCGAGAGTGCCGCCCTCGTTGGCCATCTTCGCTGCTGCCGCTTATTGTCATCAAAATCTGCCGCATGGGGAACTCGGAAATAGAGGAGGAGGAGGAGGAGGAGGAGGAGGAGGAGGAGGAGGAGGAGGAGGAGGAGGAAGAGGAAGACGAAGACGAAGAGGAAGAGGATGAGGAACAAAACGAAGGAAAGGACGAAATTGAAGACAAGGATGAAAAAGGCCTCTGAGGGGCTCTCCTGGGGCCTCATGGGACACTCCTTGGGGCATTTTCGGGGCCTGTTGGGGGCCTCTTGGGAGCCTCTTGGGGGCCTCTTGGGGGCCCAGGAGGCCGTCGTATGGGGGCGCTTGGCCCGTCCGACGCCATCGGAGGCCGTTTGGGTGGCCTTTCTGGGCCGTCGTGGTGCATTCTTTCTTGGAGCGATTCAGGGCCGTCGTGGGGCTCCCTTGGGAGCCTCTTGGGCAATCTCTGGGTCCTCTTGGGCCGAGGGCCTTTTTGGGAGGCCTCTTCGGCTGTCTTGGAATTGTTTCTGAGGCCTCTTGGAGCATCTTGGGCGGTCGCAGACCCAAGCAAACGAGAACCTCAACATCCATCACAAACTTGAGGAACATCAGCGGTGATGGCCGCCTCGGGCTCTCCTGGAGGGCCTCTCAGAGCCCTACTGGGACTTCTTGGGGGCCTTTTGAGCCATCTTGAGCGCGTCACGAGCTGTCTTGGGCCATCTTGACCCGACGTTTTGCCCTCTTAGCTATCTTGGAAGTCATCTTGGAGGCCGTCTTGGCCGTCTGGAATCCAGAGAGAGCCCTAAAAAGCAAATTCGGGGCAGGCGGGTTTAGAGGGATGCGCGGGGCGGGGACGAGGGCAGTCCCTAGAAAGACGAAAGAAACCTTCTGGACAACAGACGAGCATCCTAACACGCCCGATCCGTGCAGGCATGGTGGCGGATCAGCGCCAGTGGTCGGCCGCTTGCGCTGGCAATGGAGGGCGCCATCGCGCGCCCTCGCCGGCGCAAGCCTCCGACGTTCGTAGGTCGCTCTGCCCAAGCGAGGCAGCGCGGGCGCCCCTCGCTCTTGTCCGCAACTGGGGCGCATGTGCAGTGGTGCCCCATGCCAATGGTTTTGCCGTGGAAGGCGTGACGTTCCCACGCCAAGAATCAATGGACGTCCTGGGGTCTCAGGGTTGGGTTTCTTGTGGAGGGATTCTTGTGGACTGGCCTCCACTGTATCCGCAAGTGGGGCGCAGGTGCACGCGCCAGTTTATGCCGGACTGGGGCAACGCGGCAAAGTCCAATTCCATGGCCGCTTATTCTGCACGCCTTCCCTTCCCCTCTCTTCCCTGCGTTTCGCCACGTGGCTCGCTAGCGCTTGTAGAAAGATGCTTGGGGTTCGCATGGGCGTCCCCGCGTGTTTGCGCATCGGAGCGCGCGGACCGATCGGTGTCACATTGTCAGTGGGTGCGTGGCTGAAGCGAGGATCCGCGAGCGGAGTTGCCTTGAGTCGCGTTGCCGTCGCTGCCTTGCGACCTGCTTCGGACCGATCGCTCTCGCATCGTCGGTGGGCGCGTGGATGAAGTGGGGCTCCGCTGGCGGAGTCGTCTTGAGTCGCGTCGCCTTCGCTGCCCTGCGACCCGCTCTGCGACCCGCCCCGCGGCTCGCCCGTGACCCGCCTGCGACCCAAGTCGCGGCCCAGCCGCGACCCGTCGACGGTCCGCCCGCGCCACACCCACGCTGATGTGGAAAACGATATGCGGTGAGTGGTTCTTGGATTTGCCTTCGAGAGTGCCACCTGCGCGCCTCGCCCCACGCAGCCCGCCGACGACACGCCCCAGGACTCACGTGGCCCACCGCACGTCGCATTTGCACTGGCACCCGAAAGCTACACCACGTGCCCTCGCCCACGCGGCCCTCCGACGCCCCGTGGTCGCTTCGGCCTTGCCCATGGCGGAGAACATGTTGAATCCGCTCCTTCATCTAGCGGCCGTTCCCCTCTTGGCCGAAGGTCGCAGCAATGTCGGACATATTCTGTTTAAGCCCACCGATGCCCGAACCGACGCGGCGATGCACTGGCGCGGTTGTTGCAGGTCCTGGACCAGAGCGTGCGTGAAAAACGTTCTGTCCAGGAGGCCGAGGAGGCGGAAGAGGAAGGGACGA